CTATGCCATCACAGCTCACAGCAACCTCAAACTTTTGGGCATAAGTGATTCTCTTGCCTCAGCCTCCCAAGTAGCTGGGACTACAGGCACCTGCTACAACACCCGGGTATTTTTTTTGTTGCAGTTGTCATTGTTTAGTTGGTCTGGGCCATGTCCGAATCTGCCACCCTCAGTGCATGTGGTCCTCAGTAGAGTGCTGTGGCGTCTATTAACTCCTGGGCTTAAGCAATTCTCTTGCCTCAACCACCTAAGTAGCTGGGACTACAGGCACCCACCACATCACTTGGCTATTTTTTTGTTGCAGTTGTCATTGTTGTTTAGCTGGCCCTGGCCAGTTTCAAACCTGCCAGCCTCTGTATGTGGCTGGCGCCATAACCACTGTACTACGGGCACCAAGCCGAAATTAGCATATTTTAATACTTAATAATCTCATTGTGTGATATACCTTATGGTGACCATATGGAGGAATTAGTTATAGTTGATCCAGAAATTCTGTGTAGGGGAGAAAACTTTCTAATATGCTAGAAAGTCAAAATAAAAGTCTCTAAACTTCTTCCCCTAAACTAGGCCACTTGACCCACTCTCCTTTTTATCACTGCTGAAGAATTCATTACCTCCTTGAGGAAAGATTGTTGGAGGCTTGTCTTTGATTTTGATTCGGTTTAAGCCAGGCACTTGTAGGAACTGGCCTGGAGGGAGGGGTGGAAAGGAGGAGATAACTCAATTCAGAAACCAAGCCTGTTCCAAAATGTTAACACATTCACTCGGTAATCATGCTTCCTTGGTTCCATTGTCCTCCTAAGTTGCCCACATTTGCGTGCCAGGACGTGTAGCATGGCTGGCAGAAGCTTGCCTATAGCCCCCAAGTGGAAGTCTTAGTGCAGAAGATTCCAGCAAACCAAAGTTTGAGTTCTCAGCATACTTAGCATAGACCTTCACTGTCAAGTAATTTTGTGATATTCTTCCTTTTTTGTTTAAGAAAACACAAGCAGGCTCAGTGCCCATAGCATAGTGGTTACGGTGCCAGCCACATATACC